TAACTCAATGGACCTAAATCTCGAAGAGAAAACTCCTTAGCAAGACAAGAGATAAAATGCTGGACCAAACCAGAAGTGCTGCCTGTAAGAATAATGTCATCCACATAGACCAGCAAAAAACACAACTGAGACCCACGGCGATAGACAAAAAGAGACGGATCACAACGAGACTCCACAAAACCCAAGGTAAGTAGAAAAGCTACCAGCCAAGAATACCAGGCCCGAGGAGCTTGCTTAAGACCGTATAAGGACTTATGCAGTTTACACACATAATGAGGGCGCACCGGATCAACAAACCCCTGTGGCTGAACCATATACACGGTCTCACTTAGAACTCCATTAAGAAAGGCATTACTGACATCAAGCTGAGAAATCGACCATCCACGAGCCAGGGCAACAGTCAAAACCGAGCGAATGGTGACCGGCTTAACAACCGGACTAAATGTGTCAGTGTAATCAACCCCAAAAGACTGAGTAAAACCTCGAGCCACCAACCGAGCCTTATACCGCTCAATGGAGCCATCAGCATGAGTTTTAATTTTATAGAGCCATCGATTGCCGACAACATTGCCGGAGGAAGGAGGGCGGAAATTTCATCCTTCATGGCATTCTGCCACTGAGGAAGAGATTTGGCTTGGGGAAAGGATGTAGGAGCAGTAGACAAGGCTGGGGAAACAGAGGTAAGATGAGCCGAGGGATCAAAGATTTTCTTGGGCTTGGGTTGTGGACGAAGTGTCATTGAGTGCTGACGGGAAGAAGGAGGAGGAGGTGGCGGCGGAGGACTGCAATCAGATGATGAAGAGCTGGATGCAGGAGATCTAGCTAACGGTGATGAGTCGGGAGGGATAGGAGGAGACGAAAGAACTAGTGTATTAGAAGGAGACGAAGAAGACGACGCAAGCATACCAGGAGAACTGGTTACACGCAACCAAGGGGTAGCAGGAGACTTCAGCAGCGTAGAAGGAGAACTAGAAATAGGAAGTTTAAAGGGAAAGAGTTTCTCATCAAACTCAACGTGACGAGCAATATAAAGACGGTTATTCACCACATCAAAACAGCGATAACCAAGATGAGATGGAGAATACCCAAGAAAGACACACTGAGTAGAACGAAAGGAGAATTTATGTTTATTATAAGGGCGAAGAAGAGGATAGACAGCGTAACCAAAGACACGAAGAAAGGTATAATCAGGTGGCTTGTGATATAGTATAGTGTCGGGTAGGCGACCTTGAAGCGGTTTACTAGGGTGGCGATTGATCAAAAACACAGCAGTTTCAAAAGCAAAATCTCAAAACCGAAAAGGGGTACTGGAATGGCCAAGGAGAGCAAGTCCAATGTCGACAATGTGACGAATTTTGCGTTCAGCAGTGCCATTCTGCTCATGAGTGTGTGGGCATGCTAAACGATGAACAATACCGACATCCTTAAAGAAAGAATTGAGAGAACGAAATTCACCACCCCAATCAGAGTTAACACTTTTAATGGCAGTGCCAAATTGGTTTTCTACGAGAGCTTTGAATTGCTTGAAAACATGGACAACATCACTTTTATACTTAATGGGATAAATCCATGTGAATAAAGAGAAGTCATCAATAAAAAGCACAAAGTAGCGATAACCATTGAATGACAAAATAGGAGCAGGACCCCAAACATCAGTGTGAATTAAATCAAGAGGTTTAGAGCTACGATGAAAAGTAGAAGGTAAACTGACCCTATGTAACTTCCCTAAACAACACGCCTCACATTTATCAGTGGACGTGGACACAGAGGAATAAGGAAGTTGAAACTGCCTAACCAAGGTACGAAGAGTGACATTATTAGGGTGCCCTAAACGAGCATGCCACTGACCTAACGAGACAAGATAAGCTGCTGGAGACAAGGAACCACGAGCAGGAAGATCTAAGCGATAGAGACCGTTATCAGCCCGACCGCGGAGGAGGAGTTCCTTGGTTGAAAGATCCTTAACACAACAAGAGTCAGAATAAAATTCAAAAAAACAGTGATTATCACGGGTGAACTTTTGAACAGATAACAGAGGCTTAGTAAGAGAAGGAGCATGAAAGACACGATTTAAATACATAGGACGAGAAAACGATGGCAAAACAGATTGACCAACATGCTGAATAGGTAAAGAATCTCCATTACCAACTAAAATATGATCCATACCAGTATAATCATTGGAGATACTGAGAGAGGACAAGTCTGGCGTGACATGATCGGTAGCACCAGTGTCCGGATGCCAGGGAGTGACAGAAGGGGCATACTGCGCCATATGGGCTTGAGGAGACATAGTCGACTCTGGGTAAGACGGAAGAGGCAACAAACCAGCTGAAGGCGGTGCAGGAGAGCCTGCCTGGGCATAAGCAGCCGACCGAACGGCAGGAGGTCGAGGAACAAAATTAGTATCAAAACGGCGTCGACAAGTGGCGGCCGTGTGATTCAAGATGCCGCAAAGCTGACACGTCTCACCCGGAGCGGGAGGGGTGTACCCACGCCGACCACCACCACGACCAGAAACCTGATTGCGCCGGCCGCCGCGTCGCGAGCGACCGGTACGAGAGGATTGATGCGGCGTAGGAGAAGGGGGCGACTGCACAAGCATGGCCGTGGGCTGAAGGACCGGCTGTTGGGCGTGAAGAAGCACCTCATACGAAACTAACTGTCCAAGGAGATCTTGATAGGAGGGGGGTTCGGATCGCTGTTGCAGAGCTCCCATGATGCCATTAAATTCGGCACCAAGCTTGCGAAAGATTATGGCATTAAACTCCGCAGGAGATATGTGATGACCGGCAAGCTGCAGTGTATCGGCGATGCCCTTCGCTTTAGAGAGGAGAGCCGTGACCGACAAGTCACCTTTTTGCAAGCTGTGGAGCTCCATAACAAGCTGGGTCTGTTGAGCATAAGAAAGAGTGCCGAAACCCTGCTGAAGAGCTGTCCATGCAGTCGCCGATGTTGTGCAGCCCTGGAGAACGGGAAAGATCTCTTCAGCAACGGAAGAAAGAATCTAAGAGAGGACCAACTGATCCTTTTGCTGCCAGATATTAAACTCAGGATTGAGTTGGGGTACGGCACCACTAACGGAAGGAAGAAAGCGTGGCGGTGCAGGTTCGGTGCCATCAACAATACCAGCAATACGAAACATAGTCAATAAAGGAGTAAACTGAAGACGCCAAGACGAATAGTTGGCCCGAGATTGCAGCTTCACAGTAAAGGAATGATTGAGAGATTGCATACTAGGTTGAAAAATTCATACTGATGAAGAAGATACTAGTGACCGAAGATGAGTAGCCTGGTCGGCGGATGAAAGGTCGGTGATCGTCATTGTTGAAAGTAAGCAAGCAAAACTGAATTTTTTATGATTTTTTTTTTGTTTTTTTTTGTTTAATGATTTTAAGAACCACGACAACAACGACCAACACCGAACGAAGAATCCTCGGCACCAATCACCGAACGACGAGCAGCAACCGGCAGCGGCAAGGATTCACGGCAGGAGGCATGCCGGCGGCAGAGAGAACAGCGGCAGCAGCAGCACTGGCAACGGAGAAAGCGGCCGACGACGACGGATGAAGTGTGAACGGCCGACCCGATCAGTGCACACCGGCGGCAGAGAAAACAGCGGCAGCAGCAGCACCGCGAACCGACGAAAGCAGCAGCAGCAGGACCAATCGACCGCAAGTAAAGGACGAATGCCGACGAAGACGACTGGCGGCAGCAGCAGCAGCACGAATTGGAAGAGAAGAGGAAGGAGCACACGCCGGTGATGCTGAGCTTGGTCGACGGGGAGAAGAAGAATGGGTCTGGGCGAAGAACAGAGGAACGCGGCCGACGACGAAGAAGAAGAAGAATGCGGCAGATGAGGTGTGAACGGCCGACGAAGAGGGATTCGGCGGGGGAGAGAAAAGAAAAAAAAATAGGTTTTGTTAACCTAGCTCGATACCAACTTAGAATAGGGAAACTGTATTTGATTCATGATCTGTTGTGCACAATATACAGACTATATATAGACAATAACAAACCCTAAATTAGAACATAATAGGAAACATACTAAATATTACAATAGTAATGATGATAAATTCTTCCTGGTGATTAGGGATATGGTTCTCATTGCCTTTGCTGAATCTCCTAAATTGGTTGAATTAGTTCTATTTTAGAATAATGAGATTCAGAGTGCATTCTCTGTCAGATATAAACCTCATATAAGCAGGGATGGTATAGTGGGCATAATTCTTGAAGATGATAGATTTTACAGTCATTTTTTGGGACTTAATACTGGTTGTGAGATGTCATTTTGTCAAGGTTTATATAGAGTTAAGCATGTTAGAAAGTCTTTCATAATTGGTGACAGTGCAGTTAAATTGACGATTTGGAATGATGCAAATATCAAACTAGTGTATGGAGTGAACCATGTAATTTTGAAAGGAATGTGTCTTCCTACGACATTTCTCTTGTTGGCTCGCAGTAATGATGTTGGAACTTTTCAAATGCCTGAATTGTGTGCTAAGGGGAGCATTGAACATGTGGAAATTGATTTGGTGACCTTTGATCCTATTGGTGGTGACTTTTCTGGTTATGATTGTAATGGTGAAATCTCTAAGAAATTTGCAAGTAGTCTTCCTGAATTTAGAAATCTGACTTCATGGTTGGCCGTACCTAATGGATTTAAAGGTGGTACTACTTAAGAAGAAATTAGTAAACATTAGTTTGAAGCACTACTTATTGATGACAAGATTGATTTTATCAATTCTCATGAAATTAGTGAGGATTCTGAGGCTTATATTATGTCAAAGCGACCAATTGAGAAAGATGATTCTTTGTTCTTTTGTAACTTTTGGAATCTTAAAATTTATGGCATGGTTCCTCAAGGATTTCATACTTTTTTGCTAAAATTTGAGGATGACACTTTATTCAGCCTTTTGTGGGGAAGTGATATGATTATCATATCATGGAGTGAGAAAATCACTAAATCCAGAGATAACAGTGTGTTTGAAAAATATTTGAAAATGAAATTCCAAGCTGGCGGAAGTAGAAATAATCAGGTTGGGTTGTTTCTGAAGAGTTGGAGTACTCTGGTCAAATCATGTTGTGATTATATGGTGACTAAAACATATGCAATGCCACGTGTTATGATGGCTGTTAATATGGATGAACCAAAATTGTCTACGGATTATGAAAGTGTGTTGGAGAGTATTGTTGGAACCTTTAAAGTTAAAGAACCTCTTTTGATTGCTTTATCAAATGAGAGTACCCTTCTTTTTAAAGCTGGTCATGATGCTTGCAGTGAAATGGCTGAGACTGAGTCTGAAATGGTGAAAGTGCTTAACAGTCTTACTGTCATCTTTTGTTACGAGTTCTTGTTCTTAGGCCTAGAGTTTTTCTATGACTTCACGTTCAAGGAATTTTGCTGAATATAAAGGGAGGGTGGTATTGCCTTACAGTGTATTTAGAGAACTATTTGAACAGGGTATGAGCTGCCATCCTTTCAAATTGAGAGCTACAAAAGTATTTTACCCTACGATGGTAGTTTCTTGGCTCTGGAAGATCTTCTCTATATGCTCAAATGAGAACAGAAAAGAAATGGCTAGTGTCAGCTATCCTACTGCAAAATCAGTTGAGATACTCAAATATTCATGGGATCTTTATGATGGGGACTTTCATGTTTTAGAAAAGAGGTTAGCAAGAGTTATGGCAAAGGTGAGAAAATATGCAGGTGTGTTTTCTGTTTATGAAAGTAGGCATAAGCTTCCTGTTACCAGCTGTGATAACTTTAGGAATTCTCATTTTCTTATTCTATGTTGTATGATTTCCAAAGAACTTGATAAGAATTGGTGGATTGCAGTTTTTAATTCAATGCTATACCTGGAAGACAAGTGTTCTTTTAAGGGGAAGGGAATTTATCGAATCTCTTTTGCATGTTGTTGAGATGAGTTTGAAGTTTGAAGTTTTTATTGATTTAACAACGTCAAATATTGGAGTTGAACTGTCCTTGGTTTATGCTTTAAAATCTTTATTTGAGCCTGAATCATCTTTCAAATTGGAGGAAATTCAATTTAGAAATCTAGAGGAATACTTTTATTGTTCTTCGGTTTATCACAAACTCCAGTTCCAATATTCTGAAAATTCAGATGTTAACAGTGGTTTGGTAAGCTGGGTTCCTGGTTATCCTTTTGAGAATTATAATTGTGTAAACTTCTGCAAAAGAGATACTCCCTCCATTCTAAAATAGATGTCGTTGGAGGAGTTGCACAAAGTTTAAGAACACAATAAATACTTAGTTAAAATACTAATCTACACTCATTTACTTTCAATGGAATCCTATTTCCAATATTATTTAGTTCTAATATACTTCTACTTTAAATACAATTACAATTTCCCATGTAGGAATAATGTTGGAAGAAATTGACAAAACATGCTTCGAAATACAAAAATGACATATATTTTGAAAAAAATGAGTTTTCCTCCAACGACATATATTTTGGAATGGAGGGAGTACTTGTTATTACCAATTACTGAAGCTATGGACGTTGACTGGTGCTAATAACCCTTGTCAATCTTATGAGCATCACAAAGCTTGGATTATGGTGGTGACTACCTTCAGAGGAGGCACCTTAATTCGGAAGTTTTCCACATGTCAGTTTCAAGTTTTCGGGAATCCATATTGCGAGATAAAGAATGTCGTGGTCGAACCAGGTGATGTTATTGGCTTGAGTATTCTAAAGATGAATTTAGCATTGCTTCACTTCTTCACTTTAACCTTAGGGATGATGAATTGGAAACCAGAACTGGTGCTTTGTGCTGCCTGCATACATAGTTTCTCTTGGGATATCATCTCAAATGTTCAGTTTTTGTGTTCTACTTTTGGGAAAATTGTCTCAAGCTTATGTTACTTGGTTGCAGAATTTGTTCTCTCACAAACACAGGCACCCTGATGTTCTTCTGTTTATTTCTTTTCCATTTGTTGCAATGCATGGTGTGTTCTATTGGTTATTACTTTCAGGAGCACTAGATACACATGGATGTTGGTAGCTAGTGTTTTGCCATTCTCGGAATAGATTTCAGTTTCAGATAACTCAGTATTTCGCTGATCATATGGATGGACAAGAGTTGAAGACTTCTCCTAACAAAGTTGCAGACGGTTCGAGACACCTCTTGTAGCTGCTAAAAAAAGTTCCTGAACTTTCATTTATTTCTACGTACTCCACTCAAATCAAGAGAGCTCATAGGACATGGGATAAAATGGTGACCAAGTTCAAAGGAGGTACCGAGTTTAATGGATTTTTGAAAGGGATTAACCGGAAGGATGATGCTGTTTCAGTTTTCATTCCCTTTCCTGCTCAACTCTTGAGGACAAGAATTATTTTAAGAGGAAGGGATTGTCATGCTTTAAGGATTATTTAGAATTAGATTAAAGCTAATGGGTCAGGTTGTAAATTTTAAATACTTGAGATTAAGGTTAAATAGTAGAATCAGTTCTGTAATCGAATTATGATATGATTAATGAAAATTCTGAGTTCTTTTTCTCCCCCAATTTCCCCGTCTCCCCAATTCTCATCTCCTCCTTTCAATTTCTCCCTATTTCTGCCTTTCTTTTCCCTTAATCCTCTGAAATCATTTCTAAAATTTATTTTAAAAATTCCATTTCATCACACTCCTTTGCTGAAGTTACAACCGAGAAGAAAAGAAATCAAATTTTTATGGGCCACGTGAGCTCATTGACTGAAGTCCAAACCTACACCAAACCCAATTTTCTTTCTTGAAAAATAAGCCACCGACTGAACCAAGTAGACAGACCAGCGGCCGTGGATTTCACTCTTCTCGGTTCCATTGTTTTTATTTCATTTTACTTATATAATGTGTAGTTGCTTAACTCTTTAATCTAGGGTTTTGGATGTAGCCGCCGTACTATTAAATTTAATTTAATTTATGATTGTGGTTTTTTCATTAATTAATATTTGCTATTCTTGTTTTTCATCTGTGTGAATGACAGATCAATATTTTTCATGCTTTAAGGTGCTAGTTGAAGTAGCGAGAGTGGAAACCTAGTATTAGTTCGTAAGAATCATAAACTTGGGTAGTAAGGCATGACAGTAGGAACACCGTCTTTGTGACTAGTAATTCCAAAGTTCTTAATGTGCTTTTATTAACCTCTATAGTCACAAGAGTAATGATAGGGTTAGTTCAAGTAAGAGGTTATGACACAAGAGTGTATAATTCTTAAATTGTTGATTTGTCGTGAGATTAACGAGAGTCCAAAATCACATATTTATAGATTAAATTAAACTGAATAGTCGGTTGGTGAACATTTTGCCCTAACTTTTTCTTTTATTTAATTGTTTAAGTTTTAGATTAATTTTAAGTTTTAGTTTAGGTTAGTATAAAATCTGATAAATTATTAATCTAAGTAATAATAAGAAATAGTTTGACCTGGTATTTGGTAACCTTCTACGTGGGATCGACCCTCCTTTCTGCTTTACTACCAGTATAGTGTTAAATAGGTAATTAATATTTGACTAGTGTAACGACGGCTTTTCAATATGTTTTCCCCCCTTTTTATTTAAACAAACTCTCATATCTTTCATGTGAGTTCTTAAATCGTGCACATGGTTCACCATATATGGTGCACTGATCTAAGTAAGGAAAGCTATTTAAGAAATAAATTTTTAATTAAAATATTACTAGTATTAAATTACTCACCCTCTTTCCATATTAATAATATCATATATCATATATTCAAACCAATTACGTGATTAGAAAAAAATTCAAAAAGGAAGAAATATTTATTATTAATACACTTCTATTCATACAAAAAACTGAAGGTTCATAATCATACAATAAACATATTTTTCATATCAAATACATAAAAAAATTCATATCTTTTAATTAAAAAAATTCTATACATAATTATAAATTAAAGGTTGTAATATTATCTTCTATTCATACATACAACTATGACTATTCATGAAGATTATGCTAAATGTTCATACAAATTCGAGAAATATCAAAAGATTAATCATATGTACAATAAACTTCCTACTTTTTTCATGAAATATTCATGAAGAACAATGATACCTTTCATATCATATCATGTGTATCCAAATTCCACAATTTTTTTAGAGAATTGAAAGACTAATGCCAATAAGAAGTCTATATTCATACTCATATAAGATAGTGTTCATGAGAATTATGTAAATTTTCATACAAAGAACATAAAAATATTAATAAAATGTTTAGAAATCATTATATTTATAGTTCATACACATTCTATGAAAAATTCATGAGTTGCAGTAATATTTTTCATGACATATATATCAAAATTTCATGATTTTTTATTAAATTTAAATTGTTCCTAATTTTTAAACTACGTCAATAATTATGAATAGAGGAAGAGTAACATGGTATGAGAAATTAAATGATGAAAGAGAATGAATTGATTTAATAAATTTTTCTTTCCATAACTAGATTGTATTAATTAGACAACATATAAATTGCCCTTTCATGTTGCCCAACATCCAAACTCTATCTAGGAGCAGATATCATGAATGGAGCCGTTATTATTAATTAAGAGTATTATACTGTTCCTTTTCTTCCTATTTCAAACTTCAAAGTGAAATAGTACCAAATAGGTTCAGCTCGAATTTTTCTACTTAAGGCCTTTCACCCCAAGTTCGAAGTCCTTAAGTTATGGCCTCACATTTTCAGTAGAGCAGAGATCCTTGATCTGAAAGAGCCTAGTGTCCTCTGAAAACCGAAGCTGTGGATGACCAAATTCATGAAATGGACCGGGTCACAGGATCCAACTCCAGTAGGATTTAGCTCTGAACTGAAGCCAAAATCAAAATCCATTGTTTCTGAAGCGGTCTCTTTTTGAGAAAACTCAAACAAACTTCTCCTTCATCTCTTCCTCTCCTCAACCCAAAAGTCATAAGACATTTCCAAAACAGATATGAATTCTGCAGCTATAAGCAGATAGGGTCATGTACTCAACACAATTCACACTAAACATAAAAATCGTTCATACAAACACATTTGAATCTACCTTTCTTTCCTCACGGATAATCCCAGTACTATTCTACATTTCTTTGTGGAACTTTAATTATAGGATAATGAAAAAAAAATCAAGATTCAGCTTCATTAGCGTATTGAGAACTTTTGCAGGACGTTATCCTTTTCTGTGATCATGAAAAGTGAATCTCTTATGGCTCTAATTCAACACAAACCAATGAACAAATTTTTGTACATTTAAGTTAAAATTTTGGTTATTCATTATATTAGACCCAGCTATACTGAGTTGAGTAGTTGCTTAATGATGACGCAAAAATAAATACACTTTTTGCTAGCAGTTTTTGCTTATTTTTGCTTATAATTTAGTGTCAATTAGTTAGAATTAGTTTACTTTTGGAGTGATTTT